CTCTCCCTCTCTCTCTCTCTCTCTCCCTCTCTCTCTCTCTCTCTCTCTCCCTTTCTCTCTCTCTCTCTCTCTCTCCCTCTCTCTCTCTCCCTCCCCATTTCCCTCCTTCTTGGCGATTTCCTGACATCTGTCTCCTTGCCCCGCTCTCCCCCACTCCGGCACGGGATCCCACATCCCTCCGTAGCCTTCATGATGAATCTCCAGCAGGAGAGCGAAGCTGACCGGCGCACGTCCCAGCCCACGACCAGCGCCAGTGGTTCCGGTGGTGCGGAGCCCTCCAGCTCCACGCAGTCTTTCGGCACCGGGGTGGACCTCGGCGCTGGGGATGCTGTCGTGCGCGATGTTTCCCTGTTCGATGATGACTCGGACCCCGACAGCGAGAAGGAGGAAGAGGAGGACGACATTATGGCCAAGATCCAGCGCGATGCTCGCCGGCGCATCTTGATGCCGGTCGATCATGACAGCATTGAGTATGCCCCCTTCCGCCGGTCCTTCTACATGGAGCCCCAGGAGCTGACCCAGATGTCCAAGCACGAAGTGGACGAGCTGATGGCCGACATGGGTGGCATTAAGGTCCATGGGCGGAATGTCCCGCGTCCGGTGACCAAGTGGATTCACTGTGGCCTGGACATCTCCATGTGCGTTTCCGGGGCATTGTTCCCCCTTGGCGCGCATGCGACACACGAAGGCCAAGTGCTGACTTTCTTCCTTTGCTCTTTGGGGTACGCACGCACGTACGCACGCACGCACGCACAGTATGGAGGTCATCAAGGGGCTCGGTTTCGAGGCACCGACGCCGATCCAGGCACAGGCCATTCCAGCGGCCATGTCCGGGCGCGACGCGATTGCCATTGCCAAGACCGGCTCCGGTAAGACGCTGGCCTACCTGCTGCCGATGTTCCGTCACATCATGGATCAGCCGCCACTGTCCGGTGATGATGGCCCGATTGGGCTGGTCATCATCCCCACGCGTGAGTTGGCTGTGCAGATTTACCAGGTGTGCCGGCGATTCTGCAAGGTCCTGGGCATTCGGGTGCGACTTCCCCTCTTCCTCTTCTGCCTCCTGCCAAGTTCCGCATGTGTCTTCCCCATCTGTTTGTCAGTCTGCTCTGTCCCTCGCAGACACGCCGACACGCACACTTACTTTGCGACCTTCAAACTCTCCCCTTGATGATGGGGGAAAACACCCTGTTCCCTCCTCTTGCCTCGCCTTGGAAAAAAAAAACCCACCTTCCAGCCGGTCTGTGCATACGGTGGTGTGTCGGTGAGCGAGCAGATCGCCGACTTGAAGCGCGGGGCATCCATCTTGATTGCCACCCCGGGTCGCCTGATCGAGCTGCTCTGCGCCAACAATGGCCGAGTGACCAACCTTCGTCGAGTGACGTATCTGGTGCTGGATGAGGCGGATCGGCTATTTGACGGCGGCTTCGAGCCGCAAGTCATGCGTGTCGTGCGCAATACCCGGCCCGACCGACAGACGGTCGTCTTTTCCGCCACCTTCCCTCGGACGATGGAGGCATTGGCCGTGCGCATTCTCAATGACCCTGTGCGCATTGTGGTTGGCGGCCGGGCGGTGGTTCCGCCGAGCGTGCGGCAGCACATCGAGGTGGTTCCGGAGGACGAAAAGTTCCTCAAGCTCCTGGAGATCCTCGGCAAGTAGTACGTGTGGGGCTTTCCTTTCTTTTTTCTTTTTTTGCATCTCCCATTGCTTGCTATTCTTCTATCGGCATTTCGCGCTGACTCCTCTCTCCCTCGCTCTCTCCCTCGCTCTCTCCCTCGCTCTCCCTCGCTCTCCCTCGCTCTCCCTCGCCCACCTTCTCCCAGTCATGATGGGACCAACCGCGGCATCATCTTCGTCGAGCGCCAGCAAAGCGTCGATCGACTGTTTGCCACTCTCCAGTCGCACCGGTATTCGTGTCTGTCGCTGCACGGCGGCAAGGACCAGTCCGACCGAGACGATACCCTCTCAGAATTCAAGGCCGGCCGAGTGCCGCTGCTGGTATCGACGTCGCTGGCGGCTCGCGGCCTGGACGTGCGCAATCTGACCTTGGTCATCAACTACGACTGTCCAAACCATTATGAGGACTATGTGCACCGGTGTGGCCGCACAGGACGCGCTGGAACCGAGGGAGACGCCTTCACCTTCATCACGCCAGAGCAGGACCGCTTCGCCAATGACCTGGTGCAAGCGCTGAAGCGCAGTGGTCTGGAAGTGCCAGAGCCTCTGCAGGAGCTGTATGACTCCTTCATGGACAAGCGTCGACAGGGCTTTGCCCAGATCCAGGGCAGCGGCTTCAGCGGCAAGGGTCTCGAGCGCATCGAGGTCAAGCGCATCGAGTATCACCGGACGCAGCGCAAGGTGCGCCCGCGCTTCTCGCCAGCCCCTATCCCTCGCGCGCCTTTCCCTTCCATCCTCAGTGTGTAGCCAGCGCCCCTCCTTTCCTTTGGACTAACACCCTCTCCTCCCCCCCTCCCCCCCCCCCACACACACATTGCCATCCTCCTCTCTTCTCCTCTCTTCTTCCCTCGTTCTCACTCGCCCCCTTCTTCCGTCCCCCAGGCTCACGGGGAGGGCGACGATGAAGAGCTCGAGCGTGACGCCGTGGCCCTCGGCGGCCCGGACTCCGCCCTCGGCTTCGACACTGACAAGGCCACTCGGCGGAAGCCCAGCACCAAGGAACTGGAGGCGCGCCGTGCCAATGCCGAAGAAATCCTCCGGAAGGCCGGTCTCACGGCAGCCGCGCCGCCGGTCGAGACAGCAGCCCCATCGCCTGCCGGCCCGGTCAGCCTCAGCACCGGTGGTGTCCGGTCATCGGCGGAGCTGCTCCAGCGCAAGGAGCCCGGCACCATCGGCCTGGCCCCCTTCCATCAAATCATCGAGATCAACGACTATCCCCAGCGCGCCCGGTGGCGAGCCACCAAGAAGGAGAACCTGCGCGAGATCAACGAGGAGACCGGGTGTGCCATTACCACTCGTGGTACTTTCATGGATCCTTCGCGCCCGGTTCCGGCCGCCATGGCCAAGGAGCCCAAGCTCCATCTCCTGGTGGAGGGACACGACGAGGCCTCGGTCAACCAGGCCGTCCGGCAGATCAAGGCCTTGCTGGACGATGCCACCCTGGTGGCCATGCAGAAGAACGAATTCCTCCCGGGGATGAACATGCTCCTTGGTGGTCCGTCCGGCTCGGGCCGGTACCTTACGCGCTGACCTGCTGAGTCTCTGTCCCGTTTTCTCCTCAAGCCCTGCAGGTGTACCAGTGTATCTCCCTCTCCCTCCCTCCCTCCCTCCCTCCCTCCCTCTCTCTCTCTCCTTCTTCTCCCCTCCCTCCTACAGAAATCCCCACCGAAGCCGAGATACTCCTCCCTCCCTTTCAGACAGACATGCTAGCGGGCAAACAAGGGGGTCTCCCCCTCCCTCCCCTGGTGAGACTGCCATCAAAAAACAACAACAATATACGCCTGTGCCACCCGTGCGTCAGCAGGGAGGGGGCAACTGCATATCACCTTCAGCTGTGTCTTTTCCCTGTTGCCTCCTTCTCTCGCCTCTGACTGTGTTCATGGGCATCTGCGGGGACATGTTGTGCACATTCAAGCGGTGTCGGGGTGTTTGTTGTTCTCTATTGTTGGGCGGCACGCCACACAAGGACCGCGCGAGTGGAGGGGATGGAGGAGCAGACACGCAGGGTGGGCCCGCGACCGGGGGGGGAATATAAGTACAGGATGATGCATGCGTGACGGGAGTTCTGCAGGGGGTGGGGGTGGGGGGGGGTGGGAGGATCGGGAGCTCGAAAGAGCGAGCGACCACAGCAGGAGAGAGGAAGGAGAGGGGAAAGCCAGGGAGGAGATTGGCATGTGACCCTGCCGTGCGATCACATCCTCCTCCAGTCGGGTTTCCTTCGCCCCCTCGCCCCCCCCCCCCCCCCCTCGGCCCCGCTCCCTCCGCTGTTGCAGCCCGGCCTATGGCGCGCCGGAAGGAGGAGGGGGAGGCGGGCCCCTTTTTAATCGGCCTGCTTGCGGGCCTTCTTCTTGGCCGGCTCGGCGGCGGGCTTGTCGGCAACCGGCTTCTTCTTGGGCTTGCTGGTGGCGTCCGCCTCCGACGTCTCGGCCGCGGCGCTCTGCTGCTTCTCGGCCTGGATGCGCTCCTCGCGGCGGCGCTTCAGCGCCTCGCGCTTGAGCTGCAGACGGCGCTCGGCGGCCGCCTTCTTGGCCGAGAACACGACCTTCTCCGGGGCGGTCAGCGGGACGAACTGGTCCGCATCATCACCAGACGAGGCAGCCAGCAGCTGGGCGCTGACGGCCTCGGCATCGGCAGACTCGGCGCCGACGGCCGGAAGGACCCCCGAAGCACGGCTCTTCTTCTTCTTGTCGGCCGCGACCGACTTGCCCGGCTCGGCAAAGACATTGGACGTCTTGACCAGCTTGGCCACGTAGAAGCCATCCATGTTGTGCACGTGCGGGTAGTACCGCCGGGTCATCTTCAGCGACGGGTGGAACCGGCGCTCGCGATGGCGGACAAAGCCCTCCTGGCCGAAGGGCAGGCCGGTCTCCACCAGACGGACATTCGGCCGCTTGCGCAGGGCATAGTCAATGACCGCCTCATTCTCCTCCACGGACACGGAACAAGTGGAGTAGACAATGACACCGCCGGTCTTGCTGCTGGCATCCACCGAGTCGATGGCCGCCAGGATGAGCTCCTTCTGCATGTGCGACAGGAGGCGCAGGTCATCAATGGACTTGTTGGTCTTGACCGAGGGATCCTTGGAAATGACACCGGTACCGGAGCACGGGGCATCCAGCAGCACACGATCGAAGCCACCCATCACCTTGGGGAAGGCCCGGCCATCATAGTTGACGGTGCTGATGTTCCGGATGCCCAGGCGGTGGACGTTACCAACGACGGCCCGGCAGCGGTCCTTGCTGGCGTCATTGGCCACAATGAAACCGGTGTTCTTCATGAGCTGCGCAATGTAGGTGGTCTTGCCACCGGGAGCAGCGGCCATGTCCAGCACACGCTCATGCTCGCGCGGGGCCAGGGCCAGCACCGGCATGAAGGAGGCCGCGCTCTGGAGCATGTAATGGCCAGCCAGGTACTCGGGGGTCGCACCAATCGGCACCTGAGACTCGAACACCTGCAGGCCGACCTTGCTCCAGGCGCCCAGCGGGTCGAGGTTGACACCGCGGTTGATGAGGGTCTGGGCCAGATCACGACGGCGGGTCTTCAAAGTGTTGGTACGGATGACCACCGGCCGGGGGAGCTCGTTGGCTTCGAGGAACTCGATGGCCTGAAGAGCATTGAAAGGGGACAGGAGGAGGGG